TGCGGGCGCTCACCCAGGATGGGGGTCTGTTCTGGCGGGTGGGCATCGAGTCACCTTTTCACTGTCTGTGAACAAAGAAGGACTAGTGTCAACAGGATGAGGAGGCCTGAGGAGTGGGAAGGGAGGAGCAGTTTAACCCACTTAGCCAATCTGCTGCTTAGAAACACAAACAAATAATGAGTGTGCTAATTACTAATGATAACAAGGTTTGAGGGTTTTCAGCACATATCAGTTATCTCCTTTGGGTCTCCTGGCAGCCTGGCTGTGAGATGGGACAAGCTTTTCCCCCTGGATAAGGGGACTAAAAAGCAGAGAGGTTGGGGATCTTGTGCAAGTTTACATAGCTGAACTCAAATTCAAATCCAGGCCTGAGTGTCACCACCTCCAGTAGGCTGCCCTTGTCACTGCCTCGTTGGCTCCTTCCAGGCTGGCATAGGCCCGCGAGGAGCTGATGGTGATTCAGCGTGTCCCTTTCTTCTACTGGTAGAGAGGGGACCACACTCTCAGCATCTATAGGAGGGGAGATCCACACCAGATCTCTGAAAATTCCTCACTCTGGCCCTGGATAGAGGCCCCTGGAGCCCAGGAGTCATTCTGCCCCTGAACCGGGGAGTGGGATGGGCAGAGGCAGGAGTATGGGCCTTGGAGTGGGATAGCCCTGGGATTCCAAAGCCAGGCACTTACAAGCTGTGACTTCAGACAGATCACCTTCTGTGCCTGGGCTTCATTTCTGTCAACTGTAAGCAGGGGAATGGCTGGGGAGGGGCAAAATAATTCTAATTTCTTATTTTTTGCTGTGAGCTTCTTATACTTGCCCCATAAGTGTTCTTCTATCTCTGTGGTCACAGAAACCCCTTGAGACCACTGGGGAAGAGGCCAGGCAGGTGAAAGACACACCGAGGACAGTGGGAGCTGGAAAGGGAGTAGTTTCTCGGCAGCTTCTGCAGCCAGAGACCTCTTGCACCCTTTTAGAGGCCTTTGCAAGTCCTCTGAGTGCTTTACGCACTTAAACTAGGGGAGTTGGCACCCCATTTTACAGCTGGCACAGCTGAGGTCTGGAGGAGAAAAGAATGCAAGCGAATTCTTCGTTCCTTCCCAGCTTGCTCAAGGCACTCTGGCATCTTATTTTGCCCTAATACAGACTCTATGGGGTCAGCATTACTTAACCCATTTGCTGCAGAGGGACTGAGGCTCAGAGAGGAGTAACTAGCCCATAGTCAGTCACGTAGCTCCCAGGAGGTGGAGCTAGACTGATCCCTCAGGAGGACAGGACAGGCACCTGCTTAAGGCCCCTGGACTGCCAGCGCAGAGTTCTTTCCTTGGCCCACCTTCCCCTTGTTCTGGTCTGAGCCTTCGGGGATGCTAAGTTAGGAGCCAGTGGCTCTACATTTGACTTCTCGGGGGCATCCCGTTTCCAGCGGGTTCCCACTGGGCTCTGGCTTGACTTCTTGGAAAGAGAGACTATTAAGAAGTTGGTGTCCAAGAGCTACCCTGGTGCAGCTGAACTCCACCTTGCCCCTTCCCATTTGGAAGAACCTGGTCCAGTGAGCACAGCCCTGCTTCTCACCTGGGAGCCCTTCCACTTGGCAGGTGCTCAGGCTGGGTCCGGCCTCGTATCCCACTGTTAGTTACATCTGTGCAGGAGGCTCCCAATGTGTCAGACCTGCCTGGAGAGGCCGTGTCCCTCAGGACCTGGGAGCCTGTCCCCCCTCGGGGGTGGGGGTGGCGAGGTGTCCCTTCCCTTGCTGGTCATGTTCAGCGCTTATTTCTGTGGCCCAGGAAGCAGGAGTGGACAAAGGAGAATGCAAGGGTTAACTTAATTTTGGCTGTTCTTCCTTTCTGGCCTCTGCAAGTCAGCTTAATAGGATCTCAGCTTTCCTGTTGCCTCACCAATGAAACAGAAACCAGACCACAAGGGGGTCTGGAGATGGTTAAACCGTGATGCCTCCCGGTGGGCTTCAGGGCCTCCTTGGAGATGTGGCTAGGAAATGACTGCTCCCCTGTCGCCAGGGTGAAGGAAGGGGCAGGGAAATGGGGGCTCCAGGCAGAGGGGAAGGAGGTGGGTGCGGGGTTCACACACTTCTGCTGGGGTCCCAGCTCCACCACCTTTACATCTGCGAGTCTCAACCTGCCTCTCAGGATTCCATGCATAAAAACGCTAAGCTTGGCACAAAAATCTGCCTAACTCAATGATTGTCAGCCCTACCGAACTTCTGGTTTTTCTCTCTCCCACTCCCCTACTCCCTGGGCCTTTGCACTTCCTCTGGTTTCTTCCTGAAGCCGCCTTCCTTCTGTGCATTTCCTGGCTAGCTCCTACTTCAGCTACCCCTCTGAACGTTGCTTCCTCCAGGAAGCCCTCTGAAACTGGGCTGAGGGCCTCAGGGTGCCTGAACTTCCCCTTCCAGTCTCATCCTGGGCCTTCCCAGCCTCCATCATGTGTCTCTGGTTTCCACAGGGGGCCGGGTGGAATGCGGCTCCCTCACCTTGAAGCCCTGGTGGGGCCCTGACCAGGGTCTGAACCATCCACCACCTTGGGAGGGAAAGAGGACCGGGCAGGAGGGGAGAGGGACAGGTCACCAGGGCTCCAACCCACTGGGGTGCCCTCTGGGAGCCACGAGCAAGGAGATTTAGCCAATGCCGAGGTCGGGACTCTCCTGCCAGGAGCGTTTTGCTCTCTCCACAGTGGTTTTCATTATTTTTCATTTCCAGACTATTTTGGAAGCTGGCTGCCATGGGAACTGAGTCTTTGGAAAGCCCCGACCTCTTTTCCCCTCCCGCCCCCACCCCTCCTTCCAGCTCCATTCCCTCTTAATTGGTTTTCAGTTCCCTGGCTTTCAGGCTGGTCTGTTTATTTTGATTGCAACTCCACAGAACAAATCTTTAATGAAGCAGCTTGTGGGGAGAGCCATTAGCAGCTGCCTGCCTCCAGGGAGTGGAGGAGGGGCTGGGCCAGGGCCCCTGCCTTGGCGGTCTCGAGAAGAGGCAGTGGCCACGCATGCACCAGGTGGCAATGGGCCTTTGGGGCCCAGCCTTCCTTCGGGTATAGTCCAAAGATGAGGAGACAGTGCTTGCCCTCCACGAGCTGTCTGCAGCCTCAGCCAGGAGGACCCAGCGGCCCTTCTCAGCAACCCAGGAACCTTCTCAGGGCTCCCCCAGTCCTCTCAATGGCCCTGGGGGTGGGTTGCACTCTATAGACGAGGGGAAAGAGCTCAGAGAGATTGAGAGACCAGAGTCACCTGGCCATCGTGCATATGGCTTTTCCCCTTGGACCTCCAGTTTCTTAGGAGTGGCACTCACCCTTACACCCAGTTGGCAGCTGTGGTCTAGGCTGGGCTCCTCCAGACCTGGGTTTTGTGGGACAAATGCCTCCTTGACTTGTGCCTTGGTTTCCTTATCTCTGTGGCTCTAGTGTAGAGCCATCTGGGCTTTCTATTTATAGGGCTGTTTCAAGGACTGGATGAGACCGTGTGTGCCCAAGAGGCTGGCAGACAAGAAAATGTCATATAAATGGGTGTTGCTATTATGAGTGTAGAGTGTGGAACAGTCCATATAGTTTCCCAAGCTGTAGCAAGCCCAGAGGAAGCCCCAGGCCCTTGACTTCAAGGCCTTCAAGTGATCTCCATGGACATGGATAGTTTCCGCTTTCACATTGACCCCATCCTGCCATTCATCTTAGAAGCAGAGACCCATGGGATGCTGGAGAGGGGAAGATGGGAAGCTGCCTTAGAGCTCGAGCCTAGTGCTTTCGTACTGTTGGAAAGAGCTTGAAGATTCTGTGGCTGGGACTCTGAGGACAATAGGGGTGAGCTCCAGCCTTCTCCCCATCCCTAACTTCAGTCCAAAGACCTCTGCTTCTATCTACTCTGTAGCATGGGATCATATATTTTGGTAGAAAAGAAGGCTCCCTTTCTGTACTGGTCATGGTTGGCTCTGCAAAGTTTGTTCCCAGCAGATGGGAATCACTTTTCAGTGATTGATTGGAAATAGGCACTTCCGACTGATAAAGGTAAAGGGAAGTCCAACAGGAAAATGTGGGGGAAGGTCATTGCTCCTAAAAATCTTTCGATGGATTCTTGGGGCGCCTGGGTGGCTCAGTTGGTTAAACATTTGCCTTTGGCTCAGGTCATGATCCCAAGGTCCTGAGATTGAGCCCCGTGATAGGCTCCCTGCTAGGCAGAGAGTCTGCTTCTCCCTCTCCCTCTGACCTTACCAGCGCCCCCCTGCCTTGTGCTGTCTCTCTCTCTGTCTGCTTCAAATAAATAAATAAAATCTTAAAAAAAAAAAAAAAAAAGATTCTTTTCTTTTTTGGCTGGGAGTGTGCCTGGTTGTGATGCCTCCTACTGTGGTAATCATCCCCTGTGCCCCTAAAGGAAGTCAGAATGAGGACAAAACTAACCCATGGAGGATTGCAGAGTATCTGATGACATTGGTGAGCAGCTGACCATACCATCCCTGGGGTGGCCTTGTTTCTGGACTTTATCGGGTGATAAACTTCCTTATTGTTGATGCCATGTGAACATGCTATTTGGTTTTTCATTTGTTTTGTTATTTACAGTTAAATGTAAGCTAATCTGATATACTAGCTCAATCTCCACATTTTAAAGAAGGGGTGAGGCCCCTCGGGGAGTGAGGAATGACTGGGTCAAGGCCATGCCCTGATTAGTAGCAGAGGTGGTCCTCCAAGATCCTAGGCCTCTTGACAGCTGACCTAAGGCTCTTTCCTTGGATCCACAGCTGGAGACCTGGTATGCTGGGATTGTTCCAGCTGGCATCGCCTCCTGGTCTCTGGAGGATCCAGGCATGCCAGGGAGGCCCTGTAAGCCTGAGAGAGCTGGGACCAACTGGGCAGCGTAACCTGGGGGCATCTTCAGCTTTCTTGTGGGCAGCTTCTGAAAAGCATGTAACAGATGCATAATGCATTCATACCCCAGGTTGTGGGATCATAGAAAGAGGGAGAAACTGAGGTATTCAGGTTGCCACACTTATCTGTTAAGAATTACATTTGGCTCCTTCAAATAAGGGATATTTTTCTCACATAATAAGGAATCTGGAGAGAGGTAGTCCATGTTGGTTAGAGCTATTCGAGGGAGTTGTTTAGAAGCAAGGCTCCTGCTGTCTTCCTCCTCTGCCATCCTCCGCTTGAAGCGTTTGTCTTCATGGCTATGCTACTTCCAGGCATCACATCTGAGTTCCAGGCTGGAAGAAGGGAGTAGGGGGAAAAAGTTTGGCCTGCTGAACTTAATGTCTTTTTATCAAGAAAACCGTATCTTTGGATAAGCCCCACTCTAAAATTCTTTATACACTCCATTGACCGGAAGTGGGTTATATGGACACTCTTAGATAGGTTTGGGAGGAGGCAAATATTTTCAACAGGGAATTTTGCAGCCCCAGACAAACTCAGGATTTCGTTAGGAAAGAGAGAGGGGGAAATGGGTATTAGGAGACAAGCAGTCATCCTGTATGGCTTGCTGTGTATTTGCACAGTCTTTACTTAGCAAGGCAACTGAGCCAGGAATAAAACTCAGCGGGTGTGAACTCCTCTCTGAAAGCTCTGAAGGTGCTCATGCCTCTGTTTGCCACTTCCAAGGTCTTATTCATCCCTCTCACAGATGCCAAAGTAATCTTCCCACAGCACTTCTCCATCACATTACTTCCTGGCCTGAAATCTCCCTTTGCCCACACGACGTGATCCAAATTCCTTAACCTGGTATTTAAGGTCCTCTGATCAGCCTGCAAACCACCTCTCTGGCCTGATTTGTCTTCTGTCCCTATGCTTAGCTGTGTTCATCCCCCTTTGGGCAGTGCCCCTTTACTTGTTCTCATGGATCATCTCCAGTTTTCTTTTGCCTGATGGAATCTCACCACATTTAGGGTCACCTCATTCCCAAAGCTGACTCAGCTGCTGTGGACTGACTTTTTGGTTCCCTTGGGCATGATAACTTATGTTACTCAGATCAAACATTTGTCCTGGGCCAACCACCCCAAAATTTAAGCTCCCCAAATGGTGAAAATGGGTCCCACCTCTTACATGTAGAAGATGCTAGATAAATATTCACTTCCCTTCAAAACAACTCATCTTGGGCAGTCTCAAACCAGGGGTTCCAGGAGTGCTCCTGGGTTGATTATCGGTGGATTTCCAAATGCAGAGTTGGGAATATGCTCACGGTTCTGCTTACAGTGACTTAGAAAGTTGATAGAGTCTGAATTCGCTTGAACTGGTGTGGTCGTTTGAGAGCCAGGGATCCTATCTGTCTTGTCCACTATCATGTCCCCAGGCCACAGTGTGGTACCTGGGACTCAGAGGCACTAAATAAATACTTGTTGGAAATGATGGAAGAAGGCGCTTCTGAACAACTCACAGTTGGATCCAATATGCCTGCTTCCTATTCTCCCCAGCACCTGCTCTGCAGCCTGGAAAAAGAGAGAGGGTCCTAATGGGGGAGTTGAGGAAACAAACCCTCAAGGACAAACCCTTTAGGAGACATCATCCAAGGCCTCTCTCCCCCAGCAGTTGTACAGAGCCAGGATCCCAGGGCTGACACTTTAATATCACCAAGAACACAAGGGTCCTCCCGTGCTTCTGCTCTCCCATCTTCAGCATCTCCAAAGGTCACATGCTCTTGCTCTAGCGACTGGAGAGGCTGGGAAGTCACACACGTGGTGTATTCAGTGGCAGTGAAAAGCAAAGAAGTGGGACACTTGACTTTTGAGCAGGCAGTGAATAGATTATGAGAACTACTGTTTTGTTTGAAGATAAAGGAATAGGGGCTTGGAGAGATGAAGTGACTTGCCCAGTAGTAGAGCTGGGGTCTGTCTGATTTGAAAGCCCTGTTACTACCAACCACATTCATGGTGCAAGACAAAGGTATAACCTGCAGAGTGTGTGTGAGGCTAGGTAGATTGGTCAAACGCTAGGAACCTCCATCCTAGGGACAAATGAGTATGGCATTTCTGACACGGTCCCTCTGGATATGTAACTCCTTCTCTTTAAAAATGGACCTGAGGGATCCCTGGATGGCGCAGCGGTTTAGCGCCTGCCTTTGGCCCAGGGTGCGATCCCGGAGACCCGGGATCGAATCCCACGTCGGGCTCCCGGTGCATGGAGCCTGCTTCTCCCTCTGCCTGTGTCTCTGCCTCTCTCTCTCTCTCTCTGTGACTATCATAAATAAATAAAAATAAAAAAATAGTAAAAAAATAAATAAATAAATAAAAAATAAAAATGGACCTGAATGGGTAGAGAAGGAAGTGGTGGGATGGTAAGGAGGGGCTATATGCCTTTATTTTTTTCAAACTTTCATTTTTAAGTATAAGTTACATTCAGAATAGTGTACACATTATGTAAGAGTACAGCTCAATTAGTTTTCATAAAGGGAACACACCTGTATTCAGCACCCAGATCAAGCAACAGAGAATTACCAGTACTTTGAAAGGCCTCTTCTTGTCCTTTCCAGTCTTTATATACCCTGCCCCTCACTGAGGATAAACATTATCTTGATCAAAACAATTTTGGCTGTTTGGGTACCTTTTTATTTTATTTTATTTTATTTTATTTTATTTTATTTTATTTTATTATTTTTTTAAAAAGATTTTATTTGTTTATTCATAGACACAGAGAGAGGCAGAGACACAGACAGAGGGAGAAGCAGGCTCCATGCAGGGAGCCTGACGTGGGACTCGATCCGGGGTCTCCAGGATCACACCCCGGGATGCTGGTGGCGCCAAACTGCTGCTCCACCAGGACTGCCCTGGGTACCTCTTTTAAATGAAACCATACAGTACATACTTCTGTGTGTGAATTCTTTGTTCAAAATTATGTTTGAGATTCATCCATGTGTGTTGTGAGTTGTAGTTCATTCTTATTACTGTATAGTATTCCATTTTGTAGATATACCACAATGCTTTTCTCCATTTTTACCATTGATTGGGTATTTAGAGTAACTTTTAGTTTTTAGCTGTCACAAATAGTACTGCTATGAGCATTTTGAACATGTAGCCAATTCTGTTGGAAATATATCTGGGAAGGTATATATTTAATTTTAGCAGACACTGCTAAAGAGGTTCCAAAGTGGTTAAACCAATTCACATCCCCATGGTTATATGAGTACCAGTTGCTCCATATTCTTGCCAACATTTGATATTATCGGTGATTTAATTTGAGCTCTTCTGTCTGGTAGTTGTGTAATGGCATCTCATTATGGTTTGGCATGCATTTGTATTTCCTGCTTGATTAGTAAAATTGAGCACCCTTTGCTATTATTATTGGTCACCTTCATGGCTTTTTCTTTTAACTTTGAGTGAGGAGGGTAAAAAATGGAAAGAAGCCTCCTGAGTATGAAGGTGTGTGGGGATGCTTGAGTGGCACATTTCTGCTGCTTGGAGACCAAGTAGAAAGGGAGTCCTGGGAATGAGGGCTGCTGTGTCCAGGGAGTCACAATGACAGGAGGGGCAGTGAGATGCTGATGGAGAGAAAGGGTAGCTTTGGCTCAGGTGCTTACTAGCTGACACATTTGGGGCAAGAGCCTCAATTTCCACCTCTGTCAAATGGAAAGAAGAATAATACAGATTGGATAGTGTTGGTGTAAGGTTTAAATAAGATCAAGTGTGGACAGTGTCTGACACAGGGCTATTCAGTGATAAATTGTCTATAGTGCCTGGCCTAATAAGTGACAGCCATTATTCCTATGGACTGACTGGGTAGTGAGGACCAGAAAAAGTGCCCCATCAATTTTCTAAACAACAGCAGAAGACTTTGCGACTTGTACAAGATTTCCATTTTTGCTTAGAACCTTGCATCTCATACATCGACCCTCACCTTAAGAAATTAGCCAGTCTGAGTGTTTGTCGTGTTCTGGTATCCTACCCTAAGAACTTTTGACCCCCACAAGGAGGGATAAAATAAAATGCATTTATTTCCCCAACAAGATGTTATTTAAAAGAATGGTCAGTTTCCTGTTCTTCATGCTTCTCTAAGTCATTAAGAGTCACTTTTACTTTTATTATAACATCTTTCTCTAATTGAGCAGGGACTTTTCCACAATTTAGATGTTATTCATCTAATCTTACCTTGTCTTATCCTGTTTTGCCATGAACTTTATTTGTCTATAAGGGGGAGGGGGGGAAATGGGCATAGAGCAATCAGCAGATAAATACCAAAAAGGCCATGGCCAAAACCAGCCCCAAGGACCAACATGTTTAAGGTCTTGCTTGGCTGGTGGCCTTCAGAGGATGAACCTTATCTTAGGTTGCCTCTGAAAATGTTACAAGCTCGGTTTTTTCTTTGTGCTGACTTTGTCAATCCACAGAGTTGACTTGAGAGACACAATCTCCAAAAACCCCTTTTGCTGAGGACTTTAGTTGTAAATAGTCACCTTCTGGTGGGACCCCAAGGTAGGAGGTGCAGAAGCAACACGTTTGATCAATTGGTATCAACTTGCATGGAGTCATCTCAGTCTAAATCTACTCCACCAGACTGGTGGCTCATTCTTTTTAGGATTCTCATTGTAACCCAACTTCTTATGCCTATTTTAAAAAATGGCACAACTCCACTAAGAATAGTCTGGAATCACAGTGGCCAGGTTGGGGAAGTTTCAACATGACCATTAAGACCAAAATCTTAATGGTGCCTTAAATTGGGTATTAACAAACTTTTTCTGGAAAGAGCCAGATAGTCAATGTTAGGCTTTGTGGATCTCATAGTCTCTGTTGCAACTCTTTAGTGTGTCACTGGGGTGCAAAAGCAGTGATAGACAGTACAGTACATAAATAAATGGGCATGACTTGTTCCAGGAAAAACTTATTTACAAAAAAGTCCACGAGCCAGAATTGGCCTGTGGGCTGTAGCTCACTGAGCCTTGCTCTAGTGCATACCTCACCTGCCAACAACACAATCTTGGCAAAACAGTAAACATGGGGCATGGATGGGAATCAAGACCTCAAGGCCCATTTGAAAGCCTCCAAATGAACATTATACAATTATCCCCTGTGATGGAATATGAATATATTTGGCTGTTTTTGTTTTTGTTTGTTGTTGGTGTTTTTTGCATTTTTTTTCCTGGTTTGTTGAAGCCTTTCCTTGTTGAAGAGCATTAAAACAAACCATTCAATTTTATGTTTCTTACTGGAGGACCAATCTTCTGCTATAGTGATGAGTATCCTTATTTTACTGAGAAGATCATTAAGGGGATCTGCCAGACATT